ACAACAAACAAAAGCAAGTATTTCTTCACACAATGTGCAGTCAAGCGGTGGAACTCGTTGCCAGGGGATGTTGTAAAGGCCAGAAGTATAACTGGGTTCAAAAAAAGAATTAGATAAATTCATGCAGGATAGGTCCATCAATGGCTATTAGTCAAGATGGTCAGGGATGCAACCCCGTGCTCTAGGTGTCTCTAAAGCTAGAACTGCCAGAAGCTGGGACTCAACAACAGGGGATGGATCCCTCGATAATTGCCCTTTTGTGTTCATTCTCTCTGAAGCATCTGGTATTGGCCACTGTCAGAAGACGAGATACTGGGCTAGATGGACCATTCATCTGACCCAGTACGGCCATTCTGCTGTTCATAAGGGGGCTGAATTAAGGTTGTCTGTGCAACCTTCATTCTGGCATTTCCTAACTTTTGAGTGCTTGACTCTGCAACCTTAATAATGTTCTTTTAATGTCATTTTTGGATATAATTTATATAGTCTTTCAATAACGTTTCTACAAACTTCTTTGGAATCGGTTATGCCACTATAGAATAGTGATATAAGAGGTAAAGAGTTGTACAGATAGACTTCTCCTGTTAAAAAGGTGATTGCTAATAAAAACAACTTTTCTTAACTAGTTAGACAAGCCCATTCCAGTTTCTCACTGGCAGCAATAGCGGCTCTGTATTTTGGTGCAGTTTTCAAAAGAATAAGCTCACTTATAACACCAAGGCTCATTTAGCTTACAATGGGAGCAGTTCTCAGAGCTCGCTGATACCTTGAGGTAGGTTAAAGCAGGTGGCTGCTCAAACAGTGTTGATGCAGGGAAGAGAACATTTTAAAGTGACAAGTATAATTTCCTAAAAACATTCTAAAAAAATAGTTTGTGCAGTGTCTCTAATGCAGCTGTTCTCTGTGGCAGCCAGACTTCCTCCATCAGTTCTCCCAGGATCTACAACCTAGTTCCTGGAAAAGCCAAGTGTCTTTCTGGTAATAGATTTACAACTAAAATCCACCACTGAGTGGGACCCAGATTAAGAGGTGCAGCCATGAGTGACCCATGTAAAACTGCACACACATTATGGCTAAAATCTCATCAAATCTATCACTCAGTTCTGAAAGTTGCAGCCTTTATCTCCAGCCTGTTTTAATAATGTGTCATCACTTAAAAATTACACACAACTGTTAATGCTTTATTACATCAGGTATTATTTGCAGCATGTTTTTGACCATACAGCTGATGTTTATCACTACTTATTTGTCTTTTTTGATACAAGAAATGTAGCAGTTCTGTAGTCATGGAACAGGCTGCTACTTCTCTGCAAACAGGGTAGAGCTGTGAAAGTTTGAAATATCCCATATGGCAAGAAATCTCTTAGAAAACAATTTTCAGATTGCAGGCTTAAGGAGAGCCACTTCTGAAAACTCATCTATGTGCATTAGTGACATCAGTTAATCCTATGATTGCATCATTCACATGTCACTGTACGTTTGAGGGGAGGACCAGATTAATACTCTGAAGACTGCAGATAGATGGAGCATTTGTGTTGTCCTAAGAAATCACTTGCCTGGCAGTTTGGAAAATGCTACTATTCTAGGAGTTAAAGCATACAGTGAGATATTGTCAAGGAAATAAACAATTTAGACCAACGGTCTTTTCTGGTAGGCCTAAAATTAGACCTAGCATCTGTATTTTGGTTTAAGTGCTTACCCATGTTCTTCACCTGCCGTCCCTGTGCTCAGTACAGGTAGGGCATTCAGAAACACAGCCCAAGAGTTCTGCTTCCCTCTCTGCTACTATATATTCCATATTAATGGGGCCCAACCAAATTCACAGTCCATTCTGGTCAATTTCATGGTCATAGGATTTTAAAAATCGTAAATTGAATTATTTCAGCTATTTAAATCTGGGATTTCACGGTGTTGTAATTGTAGGGATCCTGACCCAACCAGGAGTTGTAGAGGAGGTCGCAAGATTATTGTAGGGGGTGTTGCGGTACTGCTACCCTTACTTCTGCGCTGCTGATGCTGGCGGCAGCGCTGCCTTCAGAGCTGGGCAGCTGGAGAGCGGCGGCTGCTGGCCGGGAGCCCAGCTCTGAAGGCAGAGCCGCCGCCAGCAGCAGCGCAGAAGTAAGGAAAGGCATGGTATGGTATCGCCACCCTTACTTCTGCAGTGCTGCCGGCAGAGCTGGGCCGTCAATCAGCAGCCACCACTCTCCGGCCGCCCGGCTCTGAAGGCAGCAATGCAAAAGTAAAGGTGGCATGGTATGATATTGCCACACTTACTTCTGTGCTGCGGCTGGCGGGGCACTGCCTTCAGAGCTGGGCGTCCGGCCAACAGCTGCCGCTCTCCAGCAACCTAGCTCTGCAGGCAGCGCTAAAGTAAGGGTGGCAATACTGCAACCCCCCCCCAAAATAACCTTGTGACTCCCCTGCAACTCCCTTTTGGATCAGGACCCCCAAGTTTGAGAAACACTGGTCTCCCCCTTGAAATCTGGTCCTTGTTGTGGTTTTACCTTATACTATACAGATTTCACGGGGGGTGGGGGTGGGGGAAGGAAACCAGATTTCACGGTCCGCGATCCATTTTTCATGGCTGTGAATTTGGTAGGGCCCTACATATTCATATAGGAGGAAAAAAGCTAGGTGAATTAAGAGCCAACTAGTGTAACTGAAACTAAACACATTTTGAAGTTCAAGATCTTTATGTATTTGGTGTTTAATTTTCCTGCTTTTGAACTTCCTGGTTTCTGCTGAAACTGGAAGCAGAATTGCAATAGTTCCAAACTGGATTGAACCAGACAGAACCAGCAAGTTCACAAGAAAAGCCTATTCATACAAGGTTGCCAGCCCAATGGATTTACAAAATTAACTTTGGATAAGCATCCAGAGCCAAACATTTGAATGTTTTTCTTCAACTCACTTCTAAATCTTTTGAGATTTTCCTGTTCCAATTCCTTGCCAGGTGACAGAACAGAGCAGATAGACCGTACAGGGTTATGATGCAAAGTGCATGAATGTGCCAGCAAGCCCGAGGGCTTGTTTACACAGGGACATGCAAGACAATTAATTTGAATTAACTAGAGGTGTGAATTGACAATGGATTAGTTAAATCCCTGTGTGACTAGTCTTCAGAATTAAAGTGCCTTTAATTCGGTTTATTTTAATTCACTTCCAAAATGATTTAAATTAAATTGATTGAAGGCCACTTTAATTCTGAATAAAAATGTTCACAGAGGAATTTAGTGCAGTTTAAGTAATCCACTTTGAAAAATCATTCGGGTTATCTTCCCTGAGTATCCACATGTAGACAAACCTTAGAAAACTCAGTGACCTTCCCAGTGGGATTTTTACTAATATTGTAGCCTCGGTTTCAGAAAACTGGTAGATTTTTGCAGAGAGAAAGTTGGAAAATAATGTTGTTGAAATAACAGCTGTCCATTTAAGGACAATAGCAATAATATGGATACTTTGTCAGGGTTTATTGAGCTTTGTGTGCTACATTAAGCAAAAGAGAGAAAAGGGAACTGCCTACTTTTGCAACAGCAACTGCACTGATTTTTTAAAAATGGGAGCACGGTTTTAAAGTTCCTGAGACAAAATTAAATGAGCTGTGAAAATATTGAAAATCCATTCTGTCTATGATGAAAAGTTTCCCGTCCGTCCAAAATCTGGAGAGAGAAAAAGCGGCCGAGCACACATTAAGCACAATTGAATGGAGAAAGTTGTGCAGTAGAACTTCATTAAATCTCTGTCCACTAATCTGTAAACCCAGTAATTCCCACACAGACGCCAGTGGACTCACCTTACAAAGATCAGTAACAGAAACAGAGCTGTGGTGAAGTCTCCCATTACTAAGAATTTGACTTTGGTTCAGGCTCTTTTATGGTCTCCAACCCCAGGTAAGTTAACGGGGATTGTATAAATCAGGGCAATATTTGTTGCAGTGTATTTACTAGTATTCTATAAGTCATGAATAGCTATAAAACTAAATTGCACATGTTAAAATGAATGAGGGCAGCACACTTTGTAGTGGGATAACCGTGATCCATTGATTACTCAGTAGTTCACAAAATGTTATGATCTACAGTGGGTCTGCTAGTTACTAGCAAGATTCTGCTGAATGTTGAGGGGAAAATCCACATGCTCTGTGAAATTAGTTTGTGTTGTCTGCATACCCATAGATCTTTCTGACTGCAGAACTTTAGGGAGTAATGTAAGGACTGGTTGGCTATGGGGTTTGTTTATGAGATATGGGATATTTAACTTTTAGGTCGCTGTTTTCAAACCCAGGCTACCATTTGATGGATGATTAGTAGATTTTGTATAATGAATTAGTGGTCTCCATCCAGTTCTTACTTGGATAGGCCTCCATATCCTCAAAATCAGCACACCTTGGCATCCTTGTTAGCAATCCCAGCTAATCTTGCTCAGAGGTGACCACTCCGGTTTAAGGCTGGAGTCTATGGATGGGCAAGCATGGCCACTACCAACACTGAACCTGTTTTGTGGGTAAATAGAGCTGGCAGGGCTCATCCTTAAGTAACTTTTGGGAATGCAAAATTAACTTGCAACAAAAAATGAAAAGAGGAAGCTACAATAGATAAGAGTAGAACAACAGATACAAAGCATTACAGCCATTATGTGTTTAGAGAGCCAATATCCTTCTAGTCTATAACTATGCTACAAACATTCACTGCAGGCTGATTATTGGGCTTTGTTTTATTAATTGGCAAACTAGATGTAAATAAATAAAGTTCTCTTCAAACTTGATTTTGTATTACTTCCACATACTCCATTGTCTTCCATGAAGAGCCAGTACGACATTTCTGAGTATCTATCTTGCATTTTCCTAGCAAGTTAATTAACACATTGTCATTCACACAGTTGTATCACTTGTGTGTGTGTGTGTGCCAGACAGTGACATATGATATTAACCATTTACACACCCAGGTGACAGCACAACTGTCCTGCTTGTGTTTCTAAACATTTCCCTGTGGTTGTGTTCACAGCTGGGGCACTCAAGGTGACTTTACCACAACGCACGCACTTCCCGCAGTGAAGGTGAAGCTGTTTACAGAGAGCACCGGAGTGCTGGCTTTAGAGGACAAAGAACTTGGGCGGGTAAGAAAAATCTCCACTTTAATGATGTCTCTCTAGGTCTGTTGATGAGGTTAAGAAAATATCTCTGGAAGCAAGCAGAGCATTTTGTGATTCCAAGACACACAGCAAAAGAGGGCATGCTAAACACACTCTCTCTCCACGACAGTGTTGGAAATCGATGCAGTTCATAAGTTGTCTTTGGTGTTAGCTTTTAATGGCAGTAGTTCAGCTGGCTAAGCACTCACAGAACAAATGCAGAATGTCTTTTGTGTGATATTGGCAGTCCTGGATCCCTTAGAAGTGCACACGGCTGAGGGAAAGAAGACAGAGATTCTTTTAAAGCAGAAAAAGAGGTTTAAGGCTAGACAAATGAGTGTGAGGCTGCTTTCATATACACATTACATTCACTGCCACACTTGGGGAAAATAGCATTGAAGGGGCTGATTTGCAGCACCTATTCGCCAGGGTGAAATCCTGACGCCATTGAAGCCAGTGGCAACATTCATGTTGGCTTCAGTGGGGCCAGGACTTCACCCTAGGACAAGGGTGGGCAAACTTTTTGGCCCGATGGCCACATCTGGGTGGGGAAATTGTATTCAGGGCCATGAATGTAGGGCTAGGGCAGGGGGTTGGGGTGCGGGTGGGAGTGCAGGATGTGTGTGGGGGGGTGCGGTGCAGGAAGGGGCTCAGGGCAGGGGGGTTGCGTGCAGGAGGGGTGCGGGGTGTGGCAGGGGGCTCAAGGCAGGTGG